TTAATGCTTCTTGTTGTAACGGACGACGTGCAACAGGACAGCGTATGCTGCTTCCTGCAAAAACTCGGCAGCCCTGCTGAAGCCATAAAGCTTCGTCCACGGCAGTTTGTAGATAACCAAAACTACCAACAACCAAGCAGATCCAAGCAGGGCGTGGGGCTTCTAGCGCTGTCCTCGGGCTTCTCTTGGTTTTAATTCCTCCCTATAGCCCCCCCCCCCCTGCTCAAACTCCATCGGCTACTGTACAGTAGTTTGGGGCTTGGGGTAGTTCAGGCCTACACTTCTACACATCGATGCCCCCAACACAAATCCTGCAGTCCTTCCTGCAAAGCCCCCCCCCCAATCAAACATCACGTCTAGGATTTTGGGGCCATAAACCATACACATCCACCTCGTCCGGAAGCGTCGTGTCGCTTTGGTCGTCATTGGCGCTTGGGGCCTCCACTCTCAATCGCATCGAAGCGGAGGGAGAATCTGCGGTTTAGGGCTTAGGGTTTAGGGTTTAGGGTGGTGAACTTTTCAAATTAGTTGCGCAGCAAGCCCCCCGCAAAGCAGCAGCCGCAAGTTTCCCACGCCGTTTGTGCACGCACATATGCGTCGTGCAATGCAGCCCAGGAGCTAGCTGACTCGCCACAGAGGTCTGACCTAGAGCCCCTTTGCTCCTTACGCTCCACCACGCCCTTAAGAGCCCCATTCGCGAGTTCATCCCTGAAAACCAGGGTAGTATAAGGTTTGTATAGGGTATAGGGCTGAGGGTTTTGTAGGGCAGAGGGCCATCAAAGCATGATGTCTCGCAAATCCGCAAGCTTCGAAGCTCCTCAACCACAAACCATGAATTTGCACTGCAAGGCCAGGGGGTGGGGGGGGGAGGGGGACGACAACCAACCCACAACAACCCAGGTCGTATATGTATATGTATATGTATATGGAGGTGGGGGGGGGTGGGGGGGCGCAAACCAACACCAAACCACCAAACCAAACCCCAATAGGAAATTACCTGACACTCTGGCTTGCTGAGAAATGGCCAGTGTATGGCATCAAGCCTGAATGCCCTCTTGCTGGGAAAGCTGGCCACGCATGCCTTTAAAGCAATGAAGAAGCCGAGAATCGAAACCCTAAACGCCCTATACGCCCTATACACCCTCCAAACTTTATAAACCCGAAAATAAAAACCCCATAAACCCTTTCCAGCCCTATAAACCCCAATAAACCGTGTAAACCCCAAACCTCTGCCTTGCCACCCTTTGCCACAGCGGCCGCCGCGGCCACTGCGGCTGCGGAAGGGCCCTCCGCCTCGGGGGTAACGAGGACCCCAATAAGGCTTCAATAAGGTGCCCCTACTTTGGTAAACCCGCTTTTGATTGTAGCGTCCATAAAAGGGGCTTAGGGTTAAGGGTTTAGGGTTTTATGGGGTAGATTCCTTGGGAACGTTAGGGAAGCCTGGGGAGACCTTAGGGAGGGGTGCCCTAAGCTTTTCCGCACGGTAGGAGTTTTCGATGCTCTGAGGTTTGTGCTTTTTGCCACCTGCCTAGCTGAGCCTCTCGGTTTAAGGTTTACGGCTTTGGGGTTCAGGGCGGGTTTAGGGTTTAGGGCCAAAGTTATAAGGTTTAGGCCCAGGTCGTCCCTGTGAGTACTGATTTCCCCGGGACCGTCTAGCAAGGGTTTATAGGCCTTAGGACTGACAGGTTTTGGCTGAGTAGGGCAAACAGTGCAATAGGTACTCATAGAAGCGCAAACCGAAGTCGACACCTACCAAGGAACAGGAGCAAACAACCAACCTCCCTGGCTACTCCCGAGGCAAAGGAAACGCAGGGCTTTGCGGGGTTGCTTCGTGTTGCGACAGCCCACCTAGCAATGCGATTGCGGTCAAGATTACATTGGCGTTCGTGTCTTAAACCCCTGAAGACCAAAGCCCAAAAATCCCGAACCCCATAACCTTAAACCCTCTCGCCTTAACTGACTCCCCAAGAAGCATCAAGGTCTCTTGATTCCTAAACCCTCCTGCCCAAACTGTATTGGGGCCCGATGAGCCCCAAAAGCCCTACTACAAACCCTTCGGTGGAGGCTGGGGTCATCGTGACTAGCACCGAAGGAGGCGGGCACTGGCTCTGAGTAAGAGCATGAGTAGCAGCAGCATCAAGTGGGTATTTGATCGGTTGAAAGGACGCAAGCCTGTAGGCCCCTATGAAGCCTATAAACCCCCAACAAAGGTATAGTAGCCCTAGAACGCGGCCTTGCCGTAGCGCGAGCGCTCCAGAAAGGACTTCGGCGCCCCTGCGCCCGTCGGCTCGGGCGCTGCCTCGCCTGAGTTTAGGCTCCTATAGAACTTTATGTGGGTGCCCCCGCCCCCCCCCCAAAAAAAAAAAAAAAGGCTTTGGCCCAAATGGGTGTAGTTGGGGTTTAGGTTTCCAAAAGAGGGATATCCCTAGAATCCTTCAGCAGGACAACACCCCCCCCCCCCCGCCCCCCCCCCAAAAAAGGGGAACCCTTCTTTTTCGGAACCCGAACCTAAACCCGAGGCCTCGGCAGATGCACAGAGCGCGCAAGCCCGTGGCGGGTTTGTGACTGGCATGGCTACACCACTAATTCTCCAAGGCTTCGGTGTCACTAACAATAAAAAAGCATATAATAATGATGGCAAAAACTCATTGTAATAAGAAAATTACAAATAATAACAATAATAATAATAATCATGATATTCATAACTAGTTGGGAGAGGAGATCATGGAAACTTCGGAGGCCCTCTGTTGGAACCCTTCGAAAAATATTCCTGAACATAACCACCTTAAACCCAATAATAAGGGAAAATGCAAAAAAAAAACATGTCTCAAGGGCCTACCTAGTAGTGGCTGGCGAGCCCGCGGGTTCGGGGGTACTATAATCCCTCTTAAGGACTGTTAGTCCATGGGGAGAACATCCCAAATTTTAGGTGTTCGCGGAGGTGTGCGGTTCAAGAGGTTTACAGGGTTCAGGGGTTTATAGGCCTTGGGGCTTTCAGGTTCAGAGGGCTTGCCCGGGCACAGGGGCTCACCACCCACAGGCCCACTAAAGATCTCAAGTTGCAGAAACAGAAACCCTGTAAACCCCTAAACCGTCTCAACCCAATATTCAGACAACCCCAAGAACTGCAGGGGCTTGCAGTTCAGGATTCCCTCTTCAAGCGTCACTTTTTGGGGGAGCCTGGCCGGGTCACTGGGCGTTGCCGTCGCTGGCGCGCTGGGTGCCACTGGAGCTCGTGCTGGCTCCTGCTGGGGAGCTTGTAGCCAACTTTGTCCCCTTCTTGGGATGAAGAAGTGAAACTTGAAGTTGGTGCGCAGTCTGTGCAACGGAGTACAGGGGTTTCTTCCAAACCTAGCAACTTCTCGTAAAGAAACTCAAGGGGCAAAGAGTTCAGGGTTTATGTAGGGTTTATAAGGTTCATAGGGTTTGCATTGTTTAGGGTTCAGGGTTCGGGTTTCAGGGTTTAGGGTTCAACTGGTAAATTTCGCGGAGCACGCACACCAACCGGCGCTAACTCCTGACACAGGGGTTGGGGGTGCATGCTTGTTTTATTTTGAGAGTGAACAGCCGTCTGAAGGCTCTGCGCACCCACAGCGGCGAGCAAGCATGTTTTACGGCTTGTTAAGGGTCAGCGTCCCACCGATGAGCTTCCATGAGACCGAGATTCCCGAGAGATTCCCGAGAGATTCCCGAAGAACCAGGCCAGAAGCAAACCCTACCCCCCTATAGCCTTGCCATGGCTGACCTTAACTTCAAGTTAAGCGCTTGCATCGGGCTCACGCGCATTTGTTCCAGTTGCACCCGCGGCTTATGGTTGGAACCGAAAGCACCATAAATGTCAGTGAAAACCCTCAAGTTCGACACAGTGTGTTGGGAGTATTGTCGCTAATTTTGCAGGGCCGTTTTTCTACGAACTTTTCGGGCGGCCACCACCATGCGAAATGCATTATTTGTCATTTCTTTCTGGTTGGCGTTGGTTCGAGGCGAAGAAAAGCTAAGGTCAGTGAAAACCTTAACTTCAACATGGGGTGTTGGAACTATTGTAGCTGATTTTGCCAGACAGTTTTTTTGCGACTAACTTTTCGGGTGCCACACCCATGCGAAATTTACCGTCTGTCCTTTTTTGTGGTATGTGATGGCTCGAGCCGAAAAAAGTCAAGGCCGGTGAAAGCTCTTAAGATCAACAGCGGGCGTTGAATTTCTTGTTGCTAACTTTCCGGGGTGGTTTCTCTACTGGTTCTTTCGGCTGTCGGGTGACCGTTTTCGGCGCTGAAAATGGGCAATAACTGTTTGCACGGAGCAACACTTTAGAAACTGTCTTTGCTTTGTTTTTGGATGTTTTATTTGTTTTTTTGGGTTTAGGGTCTAGGGTTTAGGGTTTTGAGTCCAGGGTTTAGAAGCCCAACAAAAGCAAAACGGAAAAAACCTTTTAAAAAATAGACCTCCCCATTGAAATCCAAATGTCAGCTGTGTTTGGCGGTTTGCAGCTGAAAGGGTTGGGACGGTTGGCTGTTCGGGCTTAATCTGGGAGTTAAAGGTGGCTTTAGTAATGATGGCCATGGCTGTGCGGTGTGGGTGGCTTCGATCCCGAAATCGAGCGACTCTGACCCCAAAAAAAAGTTAGAGACCAAACAAAAAGTTAAGTTCAACACCGTGTTGAACCTAACTTTTCGTGTTGGAAATCCTGCGTGTTTTTGCTGAATCCTACGTGGTTTTTGGGCTGTCGTGTGACGTGTTTCAGGGAAAAATGTGGGAAATAAGGGTAAAAAAAGGTCAAACGGCGTCGGTTTGTAGCCTTGCCGCCTGAAAAAACACGTAGGAAAACAGCAAAAACACGTAGGATTTCCAACGCGAAAAGTTAGGTTCAACACGGTGTTGAACTTAACTTTTTTTTGGTCTCTAGCTTTTTTTTGGGGTTAGAGTCGCTCGATTTCGGGATCTAAGCCACCCACACCGCACTGCCATGGCCATCATTACTAAAGCCACCTTTAACTCCCAGATTGGGCCCGAACAGCCAACCGTCCCAACCCTTTCAGCTGCAAACCGCCAAACACAGCTGACATTTGGATTTCAATGGGGAGGTCTATTTTTTAAAAGGTTTTTTCCGTTTTGCTTTTGTTGGGCTTCTAAACCCTAAACTCAAAACCCTAAACCCTAGACCCTAAACCCAAAAAAACAAATAAAACATCCAAAAACAAAGCAAAGACAGTTTCTAAAGTGTTGCTCCGTGCAAACAGTTGTTGCCCATTTTCAGCGCCGAAAACGGTCACCCGACAGCCGAAAAAACCAGTAGAGAAACCACCCCGGAAAGTTAGCAACAAGAAATTCAACGCCCGCTGTTGATCTTAAGAGCTTTCACCGGCCTTGACTTTTTTCGGCTCGAGCCATCACATACCACAAAAAAGGACAGACGGTGAATTTCGCATGGGTGTGGCACCCGAAAAGTTAGTCGCAAAAAAACTGTCTGGCAAAATCAGCTACAATAGTTCCAACACCCCATGTTGAAGTTAAGGTTTTCACTGACCTTAGCTTTTCTTCGCCTCGAACCAACGACAACCAGAAAGAAACGACAAATAATGCATTTCGCATGGTGGTGGCCGCCCGAAAAGTTCGTAGAAAAACGGCCCTGCAAAATTAGCGACAATACTCCCAACACACTGTGTCGAACTTAAGGGTTTTCACTGACATTTATGGTGCTTTCGGTTCCAACCATCAGCCGCGGGTGCAACTGGAGCAAATGCGCGTGAGCCCGCTGCAAGCGCTTAACTTGGAAGTTAAGGTCAGCCATGGCAAGGCTATAGGGGGGTAGGGCTTGCTTCTGGCCAGGTTCTTCGCGAATCTGAGGCTCATGGAGGTTCACGGGCGGGACGCCGGCCCTTAGCAAACAGTAAAACATGTTGGTTTGATGCTGTGGGTGTGCAGAGCCTTCAAATGGTTGTTCAGTCCAAAAAAAAGCAAGCATGCAATCCCAACCCCTATATGAGGAGTTAGCGCCGATTGGTGTCGAACTCACCTTCCCGAAACCTGGTTCGCGAAATTTACCAGGTTCAACTTCAAAAAACGCCAGAAAGGCTAAGGTGCCTTATTTGTTGCCGCCGAGGGCTAGGGGCTCAGGGCTTGCAAGGCTTTCGGAATGGGAGAGGTGGGATGCTGGCTGAAAAGCCCCTAAGCAACCTAAAGCACCCAACCCAATCGCTCCTTGGCCTCCTTGATGACCGGCTTGCTCTTCAATATCTCCAAGGCGTCCTTGACATGCAGCAACCTTATAAGCCCTCTAAGGTCCAGTGGCCTCATGTGCTGTGATGACATCTGCAAAGGTTCATCTTGGGCTTCGCGTGCTCGGAGGGTTGACGGGGGCTGTGGCGGGGTCCAGTACTTGCGGCTTCACGGCCTGTGTGCGGGCAATGCCGTATAATGCTGCACTGGTTTTCTAGTGGCCCCACGAAACAAAAGCGTAACCCGACATAGGCGTTCGACCTGCACTCTCGCACAAGGCCGGCAAGGTTCACTGTCTCGGCTCGACAGAAACCTTTTTAGATGGTTTTGGTTGGGCTTAGGACCCGGGACTCTCCTCTGGCTCTCTCAAGGCTCTAAACATACTAACAGCCCTTAATGGGGATTATAGTGACCCGTATTTTAATCCCTACTAAGGACTGTTAGTATAAGGGGGACACATCCCAACCCAGGCCCTTAAAGTCCGAAGCCTTGAGGTCAACAGGGCCTGAAGCTTTCGTAGCTGAGCTGAAGAAAAAACAAGGCCCTCACACAGCAGCTTGCCTAATGAAAAAAATCATTCACCCCAGAAATGGTTTCGACTGCATCGGGATTAGGGTTTTGGGTTTAGGGTTTGGGTTTAGGGTTTAGGGGACCCAACAAGCTCAGGAACCTAAATAAGCCCGGGGATCTTGAGATGATGTAGTGATTAGATAAACAACGCCTCGCGCGAGCCCGATGCCGAAAGTTGCATAAGCACAGGCGTCCTGGTCGGAGATGTAGTGCTCCAAATTCCTCACTCGGCGAGGTTGGGGTGGTTTCATCGTAGGCTCATAAGCAGCACCTGTCGGGGGTAAACCCTAAACCCTAACCCTAAACCCTAATAGCACAAATAGACCCTATAAGCCCTAAGCCCTGCTACTTGCCAGCAGATGGATGCAACCAAGGCACGCCGCTTTAAAGAGCTTCGCGCCCCCACCGTTCTTGAGCTCGACCTGCACAATCACACGAAAGTCACGCTCAGGCTTCACCGCAGCTCAAACCCCTAAACTCTAAACCAAGAGGTTTGCCCAGAACCATCCTTAACAATCATTTGAAGCCAAAAGGTTCCTTCACAGCTGGCCACAACCGCCCACAACCCGCCCTAAACCAATTGGGCTTTTGGGTTTAGAACGCCTTGGATATGCTGCTGCAAGTCTGATCGGCCTTCGGGGGCTGGCATCTGCTCCACCAACACACGTATAGACACATACACAGTCCCCTATTCATGCCCAACAGCCACATAGCCTGTTAAGCAAGCATGATCAAACAGCCAACGTTCAAGAGCGGAAGTCCGCACAGGAAGGAGTACTGACCCAGGGCTGTGCCAAGAAGCCTTTAAGTCTATAGGGTTCCCAACTTGACAGCGCGACGTTGTTCCAGTCCATGCCTGAAATGCTGGAAAACAAGGTGTTCGCCCCAAGTAATCCGCGGATGTGCATGTCCCGGCCCACGTGGCAAATATTGGGAATTTACGACAGTGAGGAACCGCTAATATAGACCCCAAATAGTGTGATCCATTGCAATAAGAACCCCAATAAGGTACCCCTAGTCTCGTAAACACCAATATTGAGGGCTGGAGTTCAAGTGCAAACTGCCACCTGCCATCGCGACTTCTGCTCATCGAAGAAAGTGAGGACACCTCTGCATCAAAAGGTTCAGGAAATACTGAAGGGTAAACTCAAAATGCCCTCAGACTGGTCCGACCCTAAGAGCCCCAAAAACTCACCTCGAACAACCTACTGTCCCTTCAGGGCCGACCTATCGAAAAGGGACGCAGCCAGTCCTTCCTAGAGCCATCCTGGTCACCTAAACCCTAAACCCTAACCCCTAAGCCCTTTTTAAACCCCAAAGGCCCTTTGGAACCTGGAAGCTGCTTCATGCCAGGACTGAGGGCCGCGCCCCAAAGGCCCTAAACTCTAAACCCTATCGTCCCGAATATCCCGCCAGGGCTTAGGCTGGGTGGGGAGGAGCTGGGATGTTGAGTTGGGCTTCGTCCACCTCGTTGTGGAGTTCGGCAGAGTGCTGGCCCCTTGTGCGGACTTATCCGTTCACATACCCGAGCTCTCTCCAAACCCTGAGAACTCCAAGACCCCAAACCCCAACCCCAACCCCAAACCTCCCTTGAGCCTGGCTCTAGGGCCTTAAACTCCGAAGTGAAGGTGGTCAAGCCGGGTCGAGCCTCAAACCCTATGCTACAAATATGGGGACGTCGGGGTCTCAACCGCAAATGCGGCAGAATCTCTCCGACATGTTGGAGACGTTTGGAAGTTTGGAAACCCTGCACCCTCACTCTCTCTTTTTTTTTCTCTCTCTCCCTCTCTTGCTCTCTCTCTCTCTCTCTCCGCTCTCTCCCCCTTGATCTCTCCGGCGGTTCGTGTCGCCAGTCAGCTGCACGCGGGGCTGAAACTCTAAAACCCAAGAGCCCTAAAACCCTCTGTGACGACCGGCCCTCCGCAGCCCCAATTGAACAGTGCCCCTAAACCTGAAGGCCCCAAACCCTAAACCCAAACCACATACCCCATACCCTAAACCCCGAACCCTAAACTCTACCGGCCTTCCAGTCCGTTCAACTCCGGCCGTGCTTGGAGGCCTTTCACCCGCACGGGTAGGCCGATTCGCAACTCTTCCTGCAAGGCAGGGGCAGTTGGTTTAGGGTTTTTAGGGGTGTAGGGTGTAGAGACTTTATAGTATACAGGGTTTGGGGCTTGTAGTATACCAGGGTTGAGGGATTGGTATGGAGGGGTTTGTTTAGGGCTCGAGGTCTTAGGGCTAGGAGTCTGTTTGTTGCTTGGGGTTTAGGAGATGTCGGGCGTAGTCGGTTCAAGAGAAGCCATACAAGCGCCGGGCGCCTCCAGGGTGAGGAGAGGGAGGGATTAGGGTTTTAGGGTTTTAGGGTTTAGGGTTTAGGGTTTTAGGGTTTTCGGGTTTTAGGGTTTTCGGGTTTTAGGGTTTCGGGTTTAGGAGTTAAGGCGAACAGGCTTAGGATCGATCTCTTGTGTGAAGACCTTGAAGCCTGGAACTCCCCAGCTTGATGGCCTAAACCCGAAACCCCAAACAAAAGACCCCCCAAATCCGAACTTGGGTGCGCTCTGCTTTCGAGCCCCAGTTCTTAAGTGTAATGGATCCGGTATAAACACAACAGCAAACGATGTATATCTACATATGTACATGTATACGTATAGACATGTAAAACTTATATATTTTGCATACAACCTTCCCTCTCTCGTGCCTGCTGTGGCTTGGCCTCCTCCCCTGCGTCCGCACGAGTGGAGTGGACCTCCTGTGCCTGCTCCGACTTCGACGAAGGCCACTTGACTTCTCTACTTCTTGGGAGGCTGAGTACCCTGGCCCAAAAAGGGGAACCGTTGATATATAGTAGGATTCACCAAAAAGGCTAACGGCTAGCCACTCAGTCCCTAAGACTTTACAGGGCTGAGAACTTCCGTTTGGGGCTTCAGGGGCCTCCAGGCTCAAGGCGGAAGGGCATTGCTTACTCTGCGTTCGAATTGACATCCCGAAGTCAGGTTTAAAAAAACTTACCTGTGCAATTCATGTCCTCACTCTCACTTACCACCCCCCCCCCCCCCCCCCCCCCCCCCCCGCGACCCCTTAATTACCCCATTCTGAAACGAGAACACCACGCTCATTGTCATTATCCCCTACATAAGCTGGCTGAGAGCCATTCGTTTCTGCAGGCCGATAAGCCTCCAAAACGCTCTGCTCCGCAGGCAGAGTTCTACGTGCAACAGCGAAGCCCCAAGATCTCAGAGGCCCCCGTGCGACCCTGGACCAGCCTCACCAACCCTAAACCCTAAAACTGTCAAACCATGGGTGGTGGGCCTTCTTCTGAAAGTCCGCGAAGGTCTTGAAGGAAGGCATGGTTACAAAATGGATGTGAGAACTTCTTCCCAAGATCTGTCCACAGCCCAAGGCTGCATACCCCTTCCTGTGCTTCCTCTGTGAAGGCTACCCCTTGTTCATACTATCTTGGGGTATAGTAGGGGTTGCTACTTTGGGAAGTGCCCAAATGTCAAAACAAAAAGCCTCGTAAGCCTAGAGGCTTCCTGCGGCGAGCTTTCTACCCCGAGCCTCTTTAGAACATATTCAACAGCTGCCTCTCTTGAGCCTGGGGGCGCCTAGGTCTCAGCAGCTTGGGCCAAGTCAAAAAAGCGCAGGCGCGCGAGAAAGCTGGGCGGCAGTTTCATGGGTTCCGGTGCTTGGGGGATTTAAGGGCTTCAGGGCTTGGAGGTCTTTTAGGGTTTTTTGATAGGGCCTACCAGTGTGGGGTGTCGAGTGCTTCAGGGAAACCTGACCCCGACAGTTCGCAGGGCCTAGTGCAAGGTGTAGGATTTACTCTTACACCCAAAACTCACAGACCTGCACTCCCAAGCCATGCTTGCCGGGCGTCGAGATCGTCCTTGGCTGCTCAACACAACCGTGCTTCTTCGCAAAGGCCGCAGCCAGCACGAGCAACAAGGAGAATCGCAACGCCATACTCATGTTCTACCAGTAGACCTGCGATGACTAATCAAGTCAAACATGATCAACGCAACGGTAGCCTATGATAATCAGAAATGTCAACAACATAAACATGATAACTGGAATTACTTGGGTTGTTCCCCCTTATAGTAAGAGTCCTAAATAGGGAAGATAATAGGGGTGGGGGTACTATAACCCTAACCCTAAACCCTAAACCCTGAACCCCTGATCTTCTGACCAAGTGGCAGCCACCGGGCCCCACCCGGGAACAGTGGGAAGCGTGCGTCTTTGAAGGCGCTGGGCACCCACAGCTGCCCTGAGCTCACAAGCAAGTCCCTTGGACCCATGGACCCAGGGTTTAGGGTTTAGGGTTTGGGGTTTAGGGTTTAGGGTTTGGGGTTTAGGGTTTAGGGTTTGGGGTTTCATCAACCTCGAAAGGAAGCAATCCCCCCAAGGAAGGCCCATGGACTCTGTTGATTCGGCTTGGGGTGGTCTTTGCTTCTGTCGACTTGCCGCTGTCGAAGCTCGGGCGTGGGATGGGTTGAGGTTGAAACTTGTACTATATATGTTGCGAAGGGTGGGTACATCACGAGGCGGAGTCTCCAACCTGCAAAGACAGAAGTTGCCAAGACACAAATCTTGACTTCCGGATGTCTGGATGGAGGAAGACGGGAGAAGGAGAGAGGGAGAGAGAGGAGAGAGGGAGAGGGGGAGAGAGAAAGCGGATTTAGAGAGACTCCCTGCACTGCTCGAACCAGGCCCAGTCCTGAAAAAGAGTTGCCCGACAAACCATCGCCGTGCGGCAGTATTGAGTCTGTGCGATGTCGTCTCGGAAAACCTGGGCAATCTGTCCAAAGTTGCTGAAAGTTTGAACTTGAATCGGACATGCCAAGCACCAAGCTACAGGTTCACTTGGTGAGGCTTTGGAGTCGTCAGCTGACGCTCCCTGGCTGAGCAGAGGTTTTTCCAGGTTTGGGATTGTGTGGTTCAGGTTAAGGCTCGAAGCTTACGCGGCCGATTGTCAAGCCCCTACTTCTCCCTTTTCCGCCCTTGACCGTTCACCCTGTCTACGGCAAGCCAGGAAGCGATCTGAGACTCAAACCCTAAACGCCCTAAACCCTATGCCCCAAACCCTAAACCACCACCCAGACAGGCATGCAATCATGCAGGCAAGCGGGAAGAAAACAGACCTACAAACAAAGCGGGTGGGGGGGGGGGGGGGGGGGGCTACAGCGTACGTTTCTGAAGCCCTAAACCCTTTTGCCCCAGGTCTCTCTGACCTGCGCATCCCATTCCCTAAACCATAAACCCTAATTCAACCCTAAACCCTAAACCCTAAACCCTAAACCCTAAACCCTAAACCCTAAACCACACCAGCTGGGCTTTCTGGCAGCTCCAGGACTCTGCAGGCGGAGCTGGTTCCAAATGCCCAGGCCCATGGTGAAGTTGGGGGAGATGCCTCAGAGGGCTTCTGATGCATCAGAGTTAGGATTTAGGGATTAGGGTTTAGGATTTTCAGGTTTAGGGACTCAGGTTTCGGGTTTAGGGTTTAGGATTCTGGGCTGATGTTCTGTTCAAGAAGCTCTCCGCACCTTGCACCTTGCACCTCTCCATTCCTCATCGATTAAAACTCTCGTGGAAGTGAATTCCTGAAGGAAACACAGGTACAGAAACGCTCCAGGCGCTGCACCCCATGAGTCTGGGCTGGCAGCCCTCAACCCTCAAACCCCCAAGCATCAACGGGTTCGCATGGGCTGTCTAGGATAAATGCCCCCCCGTGTGGATGCAGCAGCTTCTACAGCTGTGCGCATAGGCTTCTCTTTCGCGGGCCCTAGTCA